TCCCGACAGCCTGGCCACAGGCGATGCTAGTGCCGGAGGGAGTTCTGAGTGCTGGGATCCCCTGCTCAATTCCCCCACGCCTCCTGTCTGCCCTCTCCTCAGGCCGGTTCTCCTCTCCCGAGACACATACAGCAGTTTCACTACCTGCTGTGGCCAGACCACGGGGTCCCCAGCAACGCGGCCCGGCTCCTGCAGCTGGTGGAGATGGTGAACGAGAGGGTGTTGGAGGCGCCTGCCGGCCCCGTGCTCGTGCACTGCAGGTACTGGGCAGAAAGGGCTGGGGGGTGGAGGGGGACAGGCCCAGGGCCCGGCGAGCGCCTCACTCCCTTCCCATGTCCCCAGTGCAGGGATCGGCCGCACAGGCACCTTCATCGCCCTGGACTTCCTCCTGAAGATGGCGCGGGCCGAGGGCAGCGTGGATGTCTTCCGCTGCGTGCAGAGGCTGCGGGAGCAGCGGGTCAGCATGGTGCAGACAAAGGTGAGGAGCTGAGCTGGGTGCCCAGGGCCACCGATGGGGCCACCTGAGCAGGTGTTTGCTGCCCGCCCGGCCCATAGTGCTCAGTTCAAAGGGCAGGTACTTTCAGGGTACCACCCCCTGGCCGCTGACCTCAGCTCCTGGGTCCTGGGGTCAGGCCAGTTACTCCCCCCCCCCCCCGCATGGATTTGGCCCTGCAAAGCCAGCCCGGCCACGCGCCATGAGGCCCAGCTGCAGGGAGCCAGCACTGAAGCTGCCCAGAGACTAGATTTTGGGATGCTGTCTCTGAGGGGAGGTCTGAGTCCCAGGGGTGCTGGCAGAACCCCCATGCTGGGATCTGAGAGCACCTGGACAGGTCCCCGGCTCCCACAGGTGCTCCTGGGATGGGAACCCTCACACATGTGCCTGCAGGGAACTGATCACCCAGCTGGGGCTAGGGGGCTGGGGGATTGTCTCCTTCCTCTGGAGCATGAGATGAGCCTGTCCCACAGGTCACCGGGGGCTCAGATCTGCTGGTTCGGCTCCCTGGAGGGGGTGTGGCTGCGGATGGGGCTCCCCCCAAGAGAAATGTGCCAGGAGTCTGTTCCTTGGTGCGAGAGTGCCTGGTGTAGGGGTGGGTCTCCAGCCTGCCCTCAGGGTGCAGTTGATAGCACGTGGTATCTGGGCTCCCACCAGCACGTGGCATCACCGTTTGGCCCCATGTGCCGGCCCCCTGCTGCGGGCTGGGCTATGGGGCCAACGCCTGTGTTCCCCTCCCCAGGAGCAGTACATCTTCCTCTACGAGGTGCTGCTGGAGGGGTTGCTGTGTGGGAACACCGGGGTCCTGGCGGAGAGCGCCCCCAGCCACGTCAGCCGCCTACGCCAGCCCGACGCCCAGACGCAGATCAACGGGTTCTCGCGGGAGTTCAAGGTACCTGTGGGAGGAACCACGGGGTGGGTCCAGGGGTGGGACACTGCCTTCTCCCCTGGGCCAGGAAAGCAGGGAGCTGGGAGCCAGGGCTTCTGGGTCCTACTCCCTGGGCTGCCCTCAACTTGCTTTGTGACATTGGACAAGTCACCACCCATTTGTGCCTTAGTGCTCGGTGTCGTCTAGGAGCAGCGTTTCCCAGGCTGTGGGGACGTGTCAGGTGCTCCGTGTCGTCTGGGTGCAGCGTTTCCCGGGCCGTGGAGATGTGTCAGGTCCTTGGTGTTGTCTGGGAGCAGCGTTTTACCGGGACATGGGGACGCGTCAGGTGCTCGGTGTTGTCTGGGAGCAGCGTTTCTCGGGTCGTGGGGACATGTCAGGTGCTCGGTGTCGTCTGGGAGCAGCGTTTCCTGGCCCATGGGGACGTGTCAGGTGCTCCATGTCATCTGGGAGCAGCGTTTCCCAGGCTGTGGGGACGTGTCAGGTCCTCGGTGTCGTCTGGGAGCAGCGTTTCCCGGGACGTGAGGATGTATCAGGTCCTCGGTGTCGTCTGGGAGCAGCGTTTCCCGGGACGTGGGGATGTGTCAGGTGCTCCGTGCCGTCTGGGAGCAACGTTTCCCAGGCCGTGGGGACGTGTCAGGTGCTCCATGTCGTCTAGGAGCAGCGTTTTACCGGGACGTAGGGATGTGTCAGGTGCTCGGTGTCATCTGGGAGCAGCGTTTTAGGGACCGTAGGGACGTGTCAGGTGCTCGGTATCGTCTGGGAGCAGCGTTTCCCGGGCCGTTGGGACATGTCAGGTGCTCCGTGTTGTGTGGGAGCAGCATTTGTTGGGACGTAGGGATGTGTCAGGTGCTCAGTGTCATCTGGGAGCAGCGTTTTATCGGGACGTAGGGAGGTGTCAAGTGCTCTGTGTCATCTGGGAGCAGCGTTTCCCAGGCTGTGGGGACATGTCAGTTTCTCGGTGTTGTCTGGGAGCAGCGTTTCCCGGGATGTGGGGACATGTCAGGTGTTCTGTGTCATCTGGAAACAGCGTTTCCCAGGCTGTGGGGACTTGTAAGGTACTCGGTGTTGTCTGGGAGCAGCGTTTCCTGGGCTGTGGGGACACGTCAGGTGCTCAGTGTCATGTGGGAGCAGCGTTTCCTGGGCTGTGGGGACACGTCAGGTGCTCAGTGTCGTGTGGGAGCAGCGTTTTACCGGGTCGTGGGGACGTGTCAGGTGTTCAGGGTCCCAGGCTGTTGTTTATTACAAGGATCCTGCAGTGGGATTGGCGCTGACGCAGTAGAATCCAGTTCTGCCCGAGATGGACCCACCCTGCACTTCTCTGGGCTGCCTGGGGGCGGCTGTGTGCAGTGCGGAGGGGCCACTCTGGCAGCCCCTCTCCTGACGTGTTGAACAGCAGAGTCCCTCTCACGCGTGCTGTCGCACGGGGCCCGGCCCCTGGAGACGTGGGTGGGATCCGCTCCGTGGCATGAGCCCAGGGGTGGCTGAGGTGCGGCGTGGAGGCGGGCTGTGGGCATGACGCTATCGGGTCTGGGGTGGGAGCAGGGAGCCGCGGCTGGGACCTGACTCTGCTCCACCCTCCCGCCCTGCAGGCCTTGCAGAAGTTTTCCGAACTCTCCACGCTATCCCCATGCAAGGAGGCCCAGCAGCCCAGCAACAAGCCCAAGAACCGCAAGCCGGCGATCCTGCCAGGTAACACGGCGGGGCCGGGCCTAGCCTGGGGTGACTGGGTTGGCACCATGCCCTGGGACGCCTCAGGGACCTGGCTTTCCCGAGGCCCTAGCAGGGGTCTGTGGAGACTCGCTGCCGAGGGAGTGCCCTGCCTCTCAGCCCTCCCTGCCCCTGTCCCCAGCTGGAGAGCTCCCAGCCAGTGCTGCGCCAAGGGCCCGGCCCAGGAGGGTTTTATTCTCTGTCCAAATCCCTCTGTCCTGTGTTCATGGCCTAGCCCCGCCCGGCATCCACCAGCTGGTACCCCCGCCCCGTGCCGCCAGCACCCCCCGAGCGCCGAGGGCCGGGACACTGGAAACGGAAGGGGTCTGCTCCCCCGCTGGGCCAGGCACCAGGCACAGGCTGCGAGCTCTGGGGGGCTGGGCACAGCTGCACGTGGTGCTTGTCGGGGGCTCGCGCCCGTGTGAGGGGCTTGGGTACAGACAGCCTGGCTCAGACACGACCTCTCTCCTTCCATCCCCTCCCAGCGGATTGCAGCCGCCCCATCCTGATGTCCTCCCTGAAAGCGGACGGCTCGCCTGGCTACATCAACGCGGTCTTTGTCAGCGTAAGGCTGCATCTGTCCCGAGCGTGGGCGCGAGCACCGAGCCCAGGAGCTCCCCAGCCCTTGGGTCTGTTTGCCAGGGCGTGGTCTGCTCCCGCTGGCAGTGCCCAGCGAGGGGGCTTCCGAGCACCAGTCTGCCCTGGGGACTCCCCCAGACACCGGCCTCAGACCAGGAGATGGTCCCCGAGGATCAGCCTCGGTTCCCTGTGCCACATCCCCTCCCCCACTCCCCCCGACCAGCTGTGCCGCGTCCCCTCCCCCACTCCCCCCCAGACCAGCTGTGCCGCGTCCCCTCCCCCACTCTCCCATAGCCCAGCTGTGCCACGTCCCCTCCCCCACTCGCCCAAAGCCCAGCTGTGCCACGTCCCGTCCCCCCTCCTCCTCCACAGCCCAGCTGTGCCGCGTCCCGTCCCTCCTCCTCCTCCACAGCTCAGGTGTGCTGCGTCCCCTCCCCCACTCTCCCATAGCCCAACTGTGCTGCGTCCCCTCCCCCTCCGCCAGACACCCAGATTTGCCGCATCCCCTCCCGCCTCCCCCACATCCCAGCTGTGCCACATCCCTCCCCTCCCCTCCCCCCACAGCCCAGCTGTGCTGCATCCCCCCCTTTGCCCTTGGCTTGCTGGAGCGGCCCTGCCCCGCAGGGTGATCCCTGTCGCTGTGTCGGGGCTGGGGACCCTGGCGGCTCCGGCTGGGGGGCAGGAGGGACCCAGAGCCTGAAGCTGGGCTGGGGGGAGATGGTCCGGGGCAGTAGCTCAGCCTGTGTGTGGGCCACGCTTCTGTTCGGCAGAGCCCCGGCTGCTCCCCTCCATGGCAGGGCTGGCGGGTGAAGGCTCTGGGTGGTGCCCGAAGCAGGGGCGATGGCTGGTGGCTCCCACCGGCTCCATCTGTCTTGCAGACGTACGTGGAAGAAGACAACATCATCGTCACCCAGCTGCCGCTCAGGGAGACGCTGGTGGATTTCTGGGCCTTGCTCTGGGACTACACCTGCACCGCACTGGTCATGCTGAACCGCCTCGAGGAGCTGGACCAGGTGAGCCCTGCGCCATCTCCCCTGCCCACACGGGGCCTCCCCGGGCTCTGCCAGCCCTGGGGCATGAGCAGCTCACAGCAGGGCCCTGGCACACCCTGCTGAGGCTCGGGGTGGCCCGCTGCGGGCTCGTAGCACAAACGGGGGGTGGAGGAGAACCCCCACCTCCCCTCCTCACCACGGTGACGGGGTTTCCGTCCCAGCCACGGGGCTGTCTGCCCACGCTGTAACCCCCAGAGCTGCCTTTCTCACTCCCGGGGGGACAGAGCCTCCGGCGGAGCCGCCCGGCCAGGCCAGGCAGCGGCGGGTGCTAGGGATGCCTGGGTGCCTCCAAGGGGGTGGGTGCATTCGTGTGTGGAGTGGGGCTGGGGGCGGCGTCTGTCTGTCTGTGGGGCTTTGCAGCTTACTCCTCTCACCATCACACACTGGCACCCTCTGCAGAGAGACTGGAACTACGCCGTGTGTCCGTGCGTCGGGCGGCTGCAGCCTCCCAGTTCAGGGGGGTGCTGTGCCACCTCCCGCTCTGCTCCCCCCGCCGGCAGGGTGCCTGGCATGGAGTGTGGGGGGACACAGGGCCCGGTACCCCCGGCTTCCTGCGATTCACCATGACTCTCAGCCAGCCAGTGAAGCAGAAGGTTTATTTAGATGACAGGAACACAGTCCAAGACAGGGCTTGTAGGCACAGACAAGAGGATCCCCCACAGTTAGGTCCGTCTTGGGGTCCCAGGGGCACCACAGCCCCATCGGGGGGTCAGAGCCCCACCTGGGCTCCCTCCATTACCAGCCAGCTCCTGACCAACCTCAACTCCCTCCAGCATTTCTCACCCCTCCTCCCCCGGCTCCTCCCCCCGCCTTTGTCCAGTTTCCCGGGCAGAGGTGTCACCTGGCCTCCAACCCCCCTCCTGGGTTCTCATGTTACATGCTCAGGTGTCTTCACCCAAGGCCAGTCTCCCATCCCCCAATGCAGACAGACCCAGCCAAACTCCCCTGCAACCTTCCCCGGCCAACACTCCCCACTCAGCATTCAAAGACCACAGTCAGAACAGTCCCAGTTCGTCACAGCCTGGCATGGAGCTGCGGACCGGGCACCCCGTCCTAGCAGCGGCAGCCCAGGCTCCCCCACCCCATCCATCGCCTGTTCTACAGCTCCCTGGTACTGCTTCCCCGCTGCCCTGCGTAACCCGAGTCCCTCCCGGCTCGCCCAGGGCGTCTGCCAGGTGCAGTCCCAGCCGGTGGAGTTGGACCCAGGGGCTGGCTGAGAGACAGGCGATGCAGGCCTGGGGGTGCTCATCTTGGCCGGATTGCTGGGGGCGCAGTTGCACGTGTGGACCCTGGCGCCAGTGGTTCCTGTAGCGGTATGAGTGTACATGCGTGAGTACAATAGGTGCGTGTGCCCTGTCTCTGGCTGGGCTGGTGTGTGGGCACGCGAGGGGGTGGGGGATGCTTTGTGCATCAGAACGCTGCTATGAACGCTTCCCGTGTGCTGGCGTTAGGCTTGTGTCTGTGCGTGTGCATGGTTCTGTGTGTGCCCTGTGAGCACAAGTCTGTGAGCAGCCCTGTGTGCATGCGTGTGCAGGGTCTGAGTGTTTCTCCTGCTTGCTGGTGTTAGGTGTGTGACTGCGTGTGCATGGTTCCGTGTGTGCCCTGTGAGCACACGTCTGTGAGCAGGTCCGTGTGTGGGGTCTGAGCGGTTCCTGTGCATGCCGGCGTTAGGCGTGTGACTGCGTGTGCACGGTTCCGTGTATGCCCTGTGAGCACACGTCTGTGAGCAGGTCCGTGTGTGGGGTCTGAGCGGTTCCCCTGCGTGCCGGCGTTAGGCGTGTGATTGCGTGTGCCGGTTCCGTACGTGCCCTCGTGAGCACATGTCTGTGAGCAGGTCCGTGTGTTCACTCCCCAGACATACCTGGCGTTCTGGCCTGCGCACGGAGAGGCCTCTTACGGCCGTTTCCACGTCAAGCTGATCTCGGAGGAGCCGGGAGCCGGCTTCACCATCCGCACACTTGCTGTAACCAACAGGCAACAGGTAGGCCCTGCCCCAGAGTGGGGTGCCTGGGATGGTCCTGGGTCTTCCTCTGAGGTCAGCCCTCAGGGCCCTGCCCCCCAGGAGAGCTGTGGGTGGCCCAGCAGGGCTCCCAGCTCAACAGAGACCCAGCTCAGAGCTGAGATTCAGGGCTAACTACTGATCCGACCACAGAGATCAGAGCCGCTATCGCTGCCCTGAGAGGGTGACCCTCGCCTGGCCAGGGCCCTGGGGGACTCCAGGTGGGACCCTCGGAGCAGGGCTGGGCCCTCGCCCGCCTAGAGGGTGATTACTCTCCCCCAGAGGATGGGTCTGTGCGGGGAAGGTGTTGGTGAGTCCGGCTGCCTTTCAGAACCGTCCTCTGCGAAAGGCAGCCCGGCAGCCAGGCTGGAGAGAAGGCAGGGCCCCCACGGTGTCCTGACTTCCATCTGTCCTGCTCTACTCAGCCGCGTGAGGCCTCGGCTGCCGTCCTGTGCCCAAGCCTGGGCGCCCCGCGCTTTGGGAAAGGGGGCAAGCTGGCGAGAGGCCAGAGGAGAGCAACACAAAGGAGAGACGGTTGAGAAAACCTGGCTGGTGGGGGAAGGTTCAAAGAACAGGGCACGTTCAGGGTTGGGGAAAGAAGACGGCCTGGGGGGACTGAGAACAGTTTTCAGATGCGAAGGGCTGTTCTACAGAGGATGGGGATCAAGTGTTCTCCGTGGCCATGGAGGTAGGACAGGAAGTGGTGGGCATAATCTGCAGCAAGGGAGCTGTCCGTTAGCGATTAGGAAAAACTTTCTGACTCTCAGGGTAGTTCAGCTCTGGAAGAGACGCCCGGGCAGGTTGTGGGATCCCCGTCACTGGAGGGTCCTAGGCCAGGTTGGACAAACCCCTGTCAGGGCTGGTGTAGGGTTCCTTGGCCCTGCCACCACTCAGGGGGCTGGACTTGGTCTCTCGAGGTCCCTTCCAGCCCCGCATTTCCCAGAGTCGGGTTTGTGGCTCTGGGGGTCCGGAGCCAGGCTGTTCGGAGACGCAGGCTGTCACCATTGGGACGGTCGCTCCCCCAGGTTTGCGTGAGGGTCTGATACGACCTAGGCCCTGTCCCTGTCCCTGTCCCATAGCTCGTCCTCGGGCTGGGAGCCAATGGCTGAGCTTGTGGAAGGGTCTGAAGGCAAGTATCCCCCCCCCCGGGGCTGCCCCCTTTCTGCCCGTAAGCCTTCCCTGAATCTCCCCCCGGCCTCGCGT